CCGAAGTCATCGCTACTATGTGGTGCTTTAGTGAAACTTTCGAAGGTAGCACAACAACCGTAACCTAATTAAAAATACTGGTGGTTCACTGGTTGAGGAGGTAACAAACCGCAGACAAGGCCCTCCATGCCAGAATGCAGGATATGGACAAGTGAAGTACCAGCAAGTGTCTAGAAGCATAGCAACAAATTGCGTTATTGCCTCAGTATTGATACAATATATATATATATATATGTTCCTGCTTTTTTATGAAATGCGATTGCTGCCTCTCGATTGTTTAAAAGAAATCAACCCCCGTATGGCGTCGATAATCGTTCGGAAGCAGCAATCCTCTAGGACATTTGCACAAGATGTGCCCTCATTTCCTAGTTTCGGCATGTAGGTAAGTTGAGTGGGTTAGATCCAAACCAGCGATGTTCTCCTGGGAAACCGTCTGTACTCAGCCGAGTCGACACTCAGTCTCCGCGGAAGCAACGCTGTCAGTATGTCACTAGGTCCACATGGGAACGGTTCGATAAAGTTCGTATGAGTGTACAGACCAAGTTGTCATAGTGTCATGTAGAGTTTCACTTCTTCTTTAACTCATGAAGTAAAGCTAGAAGACTTACTGTCTGTTTAGAGCACAGTAGTTTCAGCTGAACGAAAGTGGCACTAATGTGGATTTGCAATAGGGTGTCGTAACAGCACACATCACACTGCAACTGCACCAACCTGATACAAACATAAATAACAGTTGGGCATACACATGTCTGAAGAACTGCTTCGTGGACAGATAGGGCTTAAAGCTAGTGGGTGTGTAAGGTACCTCACATGCCAAATATGTTTCCACTGATTTATGGCTCTGTGTCTCAGAATGAGATATGCAAGCTGAATTCAATTACTATTTCTGATAGGTCCTCAGGTATTTCATGCCGTTAGCGCATTGGTTTACATGTTTTAATAGACATCCGTGAGCAGAGGAATTTTCTTCACCAATTGGCAATTATATCATTTTGTCTACTTTTTGGTTAATCAGTTAGTAGTCACTGGGACATTCGCACCATTGAACCGAATGGCGTCTTCCTATTACAGTACAATAACATGGAGGAATAACTAACTGGGCCGCTCCATCTTAATCCTCCTGTCAAGGTGTCATGCAAACACGGCGTCAAACCATCTCCACTACGTTAAACCACTGGCCTCATGGACTCCACTGAGCGACACAGTACATCAGGTACTGTTTATAATTATCACCCGAAAGAAAAAACATCATTCACTCAGTCTCGATTCCGCTCCTTAGGTTTACAAGTCGTATTATTGTGTTGTACAATAGGTCTGGTAAGAACGTTATTCGCTGATGTCTAATGTATCCTTAGGGACAGTTCCGTCGCTCAAGAGGTAGGGTGTTTAGCCATAGTGTTCCAGCTAAATGGATAACGTTGCCGAACATGGTCAGTCCATGTTGTGGAAGAGATTTGTTGACAAGTACGATGGATATGAAAACCGGTATTGTGATGCGATTTAAGTGTGGGATCGCTGTATAAAGTTTGCCGAAAAGCTTGACTTCCTCTATCAAGTACAACGGCTGTCACAGAGGCAACATTCCTTAGTTAGAGTAGAATATCGTTGCTACCTTAGCAAACGAATGCTTCTTTTGCATCAAGTTGAACTATCAGTGCTGTGTGACTTAAACGCCACTAACCTAAGCCTAACCGACATAGTCCCTTTTCTAGTATGCATAGTCACCGGCCAGCAGCCAACCCATAATCCTGCGCTCAAGCAGACTACCTGTGTCTTCCCTAGGTATGCTTTTCCTGACATCGCTGCGTCATTTTATTCCCATCTCGATGTGCCGAACCACGTAAGGTTATAATGCTTTAATTTCCTTTGTTTGGCCTTGGCAACCGTGAGGAGTAAGAGCAAACTGAGCTTACGTGTAAAAAGTAAACCAGCAATACTCTAACGATCAGTTAATAACCTCGGTCTCATACGCATAGAAAGTTCTATTGCTGTTGTACCGAAAGCATCAATATACAGAATACAGATCTATATGATGCATGTTTTCTGATAAGACTACTCCTTTAGCTGAACGTATTCACCTTAGAGCTTATCACGGACTTGAGTAGGAGAAACCACAGACTTTCCGGCGCAGACTTTCCAGTCCGTAAACGGTGCCTAGGAGTGAGTAACCGGCAGTCTGCCAGAATCTAAAGTGATGAGAATTGCACCCTGGTAACCACTTGTCCTACGATACCATAAGGATTATATAATGACCCTCTCTGAATTAGAAGTTAGATTGACCCTAATTTTTGCCTGCGCTTAAATGTAATAGGACGAAGGTCGGAGTATTTGCATCTGTAGAAGTATGGTCATGGATCAGTAGTGTTTTTCATTGCACTCAGAAAAGCATCCACTTGTACCCCTCAGGATTCAGTTGGGTTCATTACAATTAGCCCAAACTCACGGGGCCCGCACTGTAGATACAGATATACACCCATGGTCGATGAAATAATATAACTTGCCAACTATAGGACATGAGATTAAAGGCTTTGATATATTGGAATATGCTTGGAAGCGATCAAGAAAACATTCTGTGAGTGGCTTCAAAACAACGGGTTATTTACAATCCCTTCTGAAATAAAGAGGTTGGTGGAAGATGCCAATGTTCGGATGATCCACTGATTGTTTGGTTGTGTATCAGCGCAATATATAAAATGTCGATTGTTCTACAATAACTATTTAATCTTATCACTACGACTACTTGCGTTAAATCGTCTTACCAAGTGGATTCACTCGTACGCCCATTTAACGTAAAGTCCTTATGGGGGTAGAGTAACGCATACGGCATGGTTGGCGGCATCCGGTTTCGGATTTGCCTGTCACTGTGGCCAGCCACAGGACGCTTGCGCCTTCAGAGAGACCATGGGTGGCTTGCGCTGCACCTCCCACAGCTCCAACCACACACCCCATATCCAGTGTAAACCCGAAGGAATAAGACCGGGAGGCATGTGGATGGGAGCCACGTTTCATCAACGGAGTCGGCCCACACTCCTTCACAGACAAACACAAGCACGCTGTATTTGGGGAATCAACCGCACACAAGGCGGTGGCTGGACCATAGTCCGCTCCACACTGAGTGCATGGAACCACTCTTCGAGCCTAGCACGACCACAAGAACCGTGCACCCCGTCCCCTCCAGCAACGACCAACTGTCTCCTGGAGCCAGTATGAACGATGTAGTGGGTAATAGACAGACAGGCACCTTGTCAACATGCACATCAAGCGCAACCACACTGGAGATATCAAGCAACAGCCATTCACTTTAAATGACAAGCTGAAATAAAATAAATCCAATAATGCATACAGATACGGTGGCATAACTTCCCTAAATTACCATATGAAGTAAGTTGGTTAGCAACGAATCCGCGATAAGGAAAAAATGTCCACAAGTTAGTTAAAAATGCTGCAAACGCAACAAAGTTACCGAAGATAAGCGCAATTAGCGCAAACAACGTGGTCAGCCAATAAAAGACTATCCAGATAGACAAAACAAACCAAATAAACTGGAATGAAATGTATCCAGCTTAAAAAGACTTAGTTTAAGTGTAAGTTGGTTTAGCCCAACTGCGGTGAAGAAGCATCAAGAATGCAACCTCAGCCTCAGCATGGGGCACACACATACGGTATACTCCGGTTATTAAATGAGTGGGTCATAAACCTACATCCTGTACTTCGAACGGAGAGTGGTAGATGTTTGGAACAGTCTGCCAGAACCAGTCGCGGAGGCCAACTCTGTACAGCAATTGAAAACGTTGTTAGATTTGCATTTCAACAACATACGATTCAGGGAACGATTACACATTGGCAGTGATCTATATATTTGTAAACCCAGTGCTACTGTATGTCAGCGATTTTTAAATGCTACATAGGAAATTGAAAAATGCTTATAGTATCAATAGACGGCAGATAATTTCTGTGACATTTTTGATTATTTTACGAAGTTGTTCAGATTTAAATATTTACTTGCTCTCGCAATACAGGATTCAGTATTCAGTAAACGATTGCAAACAGTGGAACAAAAATTTGATTTGGGGTGGACCTCAGGTGTCGTATTGTTTCGACCAATAAGCCATGGGCAACAGATGTGAACAAATGTGGTCACAGTGCAGTCTGGACCCGCGAATTTGAACCGTCATATTCGCTGGCCATGGAATCCAGTCTCGCAGGTATAACTTTTCGCAAGTGTTGTTAAGTGAAACTGTCACTTGCTCTCTAACAGTTTCAAGTAAATGAGTGCTTGAGAGCAAGGCTAAAATGCCATTGAACTTTGAGCATACGGTGCCTTTCATAAACGCTGCCAACAGTGAAAGCCTTTTTATCGATCTGCGAAACTGTAACTCAGGGGGTCGCACTTCTACCATTACTTTATACTACAGGACCGTTCCTCAACAGTTGCCATCGGACAGAGGTCAGTTGTTATCCTCAGCAATTACACAAACGACTGCCTGTCGCATTGGACTTGCTCTATCGATCTGGTCGACATGTCAATGTTGAGACATTGCAGCAGAGTCTCTGTGCAATCCAATAGCCTTGACTTGCGTATCATCTACGTTGCCTTTAGAAAGAACCGCAGACCTTTGTGACTTTATGACATGTACCTGAAAGAAGAGCCCAAATACTTGGGCGAAATGTATCGGCCATGTTGAGTTGTTCAAGGAATGCAAGCTTATTGTTTCGGGGGTTGTGTTGTCTACTGATAATGATTATCTTTTTAATAACTTACGGGGCTGTGTTGTAGGTATTTTGTGATGAACGCGTACGTAGTACGTAACATTTGTAGCATTTGAGACAATGAAGGAAGAGCGCAAAACAAACAGGAACCACGCAGCGTTAGCACGACTCGTACTTTTTTAATCTATCGCGTGGTAAATAGCTTTCTTTACAAAATAAACTCAATGTAATGAATCACCCTTGGCTATCATTGCAAATGGTGCAACAAGAATGATGTGAGTGAGACTTACCAAGTGCAGTCCTGGCGAAGCACAATAAAACAAGGTTCACAGCCAAAACCGCTACAGCCGCGCTGGAGATCTGTGCCATAGCGCTAGAGCTTGAAAGTACTTCTGACCACACAGTCTGGTAGCTCTTATGGCATGCGTTCCGACCCCTCAGTCACACGTTGTGACGGTCTAGACGACGTTTTGGTTAATTTAGAGAAGAACTAGGTGTATGAGAGTTTATACATTCTGGAAGATGCGGTTACAAGCCAAGGTGCGCACCCACACTTCCCCTTAGTACTTAGGCCACAGGCAAGGACGCGTTGACTATCAGTCACTGGCTCATCGATCAGCCTGAAAGGGGAGTGCTTCGCCCTGAAACTAGACCGAACGCCCACGCCGGACGGAAAATTGGCGTTAGTGCGTCCGTATGCACCCGGCAAGTCCAACACAGGGACAACGGTGGTGCATCAGGCTACCAACGACGCCGCATAGATGGTATGTCGAGCCCTGGATAACGGACCCAATTGGCGAAATTTGCAAATACCCATCCCCCAAGCACCCGAACTAAAAACTGGTGCTGTACCGGTACCGGTGCGTGCAGTCTCTCTTGGCAAACACCTATACCGGCACTCTATGATCGTAGGAAATGAATGTCCTCAAACCAGTACGCATCGATCCCATGGGATGGGAAATGTGCTTGGGAATCAATCCGTAATGGATCTCATTTATGTAGACCATTGGAGGACATTTTGTACCCTTTGCAAGTAGGTGTTTTTTTATCTATGTGGTCTAAGTTACCAAATTATCGTCGCCGAGTGGTAATACCTAGTACATTGTATATACACTAAAGATCATTGGATCCTAAGACTAGATCAGTCTCTCATTGCTGATAGTTGTACAACGGTGAACGCTGTTCGCCAAAGTCAAATCAAGACCGACAGAAGCCTCCTTTATCAGACTGCGCTCAGAAGGTGCTGTGGTTATGTCAGAATAGTTGTTGAATGTCTGGCCACCCAAAAGCAGGCAACTCCTGAGGACCAGCCTTATTTGGCTGATTGTCCTCCAGACCTTCGTAACAACAGCAACCATTTAAACAATCCTGCGAATCATGCACTCATGAGTTGGAGAATTGTTGCTGTAATTAGTTGAGAGTCTGTCGCACCAGCCTCCAAAGCAGATAGCGCTCCACATGTCTGGAAAAGCACCAGACTGCAGTTTCAGCCTATTGGGAATCATCTGTAGTGTGTATCCATCGCAGTTACAGATCATGTCGGTCCGAAGCTGTCCCCCGTGGCCTAGTGGCATAAGCTGCTGTGTGGCTGTGCAAGCCCCTGATGGTCACGGGTTCGAATCCTGATGGATCCGATGAATGCCCACTGCTGATGATGCTCAGCAGGCTGAAACCGCGACGCACTCTCAACTGATTCTGGGAATTGTATGAGGTAATGAATTTATTCACACACATGACTGCTTCCACCCACTAACGGTAGTTAGAACACGACCAGCCAATAACAAGAATGCAAGCATTATTTTGAATAGGGAAAGGATAAATGTGAAAGTCGACCAGAGTGCGAAAGGCGTCCGGGTGGGTAAAGCTGATAAAGACTGAACAACAAAGGAACCAGTCAGGTGCACCCAAAAACGGAAAGTGACAGTATTAGCCTCAGATTACGACTGCGATCGGAAACCAATACAAAGAATCTGACTAGCCAATGGGGATAGCGAAATAAAACAATGGAACAATGCCTTCTTGCGGCTACAAAAGCATTGCTTAACAATCCAGTGGGATGAAAATTATTGCGAAAATCAATTGCATGATGAAGTGAAAAGCGTTTTGGTGGACTCACCATAGACTTATGTAGAATAGCGGAGATGTTCGCGCATTAAAAGTATAAATCCATAAATCCATTGGTTAGGAGTTTGGTAAGATACCGTTTGATTGCATTTTATAGCCCCTGGCTAACAATACATAAAATGAAATGCAAATGGGACAACGCATCGTCAGCTCGTATTTTTGAATATCGCCAGCTTGGGAGCAGAAACGACATAATGAGGGAAGGCGTTCCAAGGCTGGCACACGCGGAGAGAAAAGTAATTTCCACGGCATTTATGCCAGCTATATCGTATTGTCAGCTTCAGAGGATAACCGTTTAGGTTAGTGTTGTGGTTCAATTTCAGCAGCGGACGGCAATTGTGGTTTGGGTTCTTCAGAATCTGGTAAACCATTATGAGATCCCGCAGCAAAAGCTAATCTCGACTGCTGTACATTCTTAGAGATTTCAGTCTAAACTGATAGGGCGGATGGAAGAGGCTCCTGACATTCTTGGTTGCTCTTCGTTGAGGAGTCTCGAGAGCATTGAGATCCTGTTTCTGCCACGGCTGCCACGCCTGAATAGCATATTCCACGTGCGGTCGCAGTTAGGCGTTAAGCATTTTGGGAAAGATTGTGGGTTCAAACCGACCGAAGGCACTGTGAAGAAGGCCGAAGTGTTGATTGTCGGTTCTGGTTGCCTTCTCTGCTTGTTTTGAACAATAGAAATGTTCCTGTACCAATACACCCAGGTCACGCTCTTGAGAGGCCTTCTCCAAGCTGTGGTCTCCAAGCGTAGCTACCAGCGATAACTGTAGTTGCAACTGACATTAACCCATCGATCAGAAAGCCGGCCCACTAAATTCCTCTGGCATGACTAAATTAGATCTTCACACTGGTGTGCGGCTAGTGACTTGAAGGTCCTCATCGGACCGATGGAAACAATGATTTATCATGGGTAATAAAAGCTGATGCTTCACAGGTCCCATAGGATGGAGGGGTGAAATATTTGGGGGACATAGTTGTGTGGACTTACCAGATGTTAACTTGAGCACATCGATTGCTTGTGATATTTGGATCCCCAGTTGGCAAAGCTTATAAAACATGATGTAAATGTCTCAGCTTATCAGCAACATACTTTTTAACAGCGGTAATGTGGGAGAAGAAATTACGTGGGTGGTGAGGGCTTACAAATGTTGACACACACGAACAGAAAAGAAACTCCGTCGATATTCCAAGCGGCTTAATGTGTGGCCAATTTTAGTTGCTGAAGTTTCATTGTGGTATCCTTGTTCTGTTCCAGAAATTGTTGAAAAACATGGTTGGAATTCATCACTATCAGATACGTCACTATCAAGTCGCCACGCAGTTGCCGATATTGTCCACTGTAGACCCCCAGTGATTTCAGCCTCAGTTGGTAAACTAGATGGAACAACCCATTTGCATGCTTTGTCGACCTCCCTGGTGGAATTTCAAGTGCTTCGAGGACATGTTTGTGCCAACGCTGCCAGAGGCGGATGGTTCATTCTGAATGGGACCTAAGATAGGCTTTCAGCAGTTGAGAAGAAATGAAGGAGTCTAATCGTTCGAATGTCCGCTCGCATAAGGCTAAGGTTTTGCTTGGCTTTATTGGACACTTATTTGACCTGACGTGAAATGCTAGGATCGCCATTTATCAGCATTCCTAGGTCACATGCAATAGAAGCGCGCTACACAAGTTGATTACCAAGTTATATTCCTGTAGACAGAGCTCTTGACAAATTCGTCCTACCTGCGATAAATAAATACAGCCAAATAGAGTGACGAATGCTTGCACTCTACTTCGTTGGTGGCTCGAATGTGTTCCGTTAAATCCATCTACCAACTGCAAGAGCAGTTCCTACCATAAACAAAAGGCCAAAATATGGTCCACTTGGTATCTGTAGTATGATAACTGGGTTATTGCTGTATAAATGCTTCTCACTACCGTTAGCGCACAGAAAACATTAAATATGGTGATTCTTTGATTACCTATTGCCACACCATCGATTTTATAGTATCATCTGTTTTGGTGATAAAATCCGACATTCACCGTGCCCATTGTTAAGGATTCTTCCGAGAAACCGACGGAAATCGGCAAGGAGCAGTCAGTGTTCAACTAGTTCACACGGGCGATGAAAACTTTGACTTGATGGAAGTGAATGAACAAGAATTTTACATCCATTGGGCATACGACATTTTCAAATAGTTTGATTTCATCCAGGGTCTCAAGGAATCTACCGCCTGCGCCACTGTCTCAATGGCTAGTGATTTTATTAGGCAAACAAACTGTTTGTGTCGGGGAACGTTCATTATGGAAAGAATCGGTCTAAGTATTACTTCGCTATTGTGTATTTTCGGTGACTCACGGCGCTGCGGATTGGCGCTACCACACAGCTTCACCCTGTTAAAAGCGTCACTATCTATCACGTGATGAACAAAAAGCATATTGTGATGAACTAGGGCTACAAAATCTGCTATAGACCCACTTTTATAAGCCTTTCAAAGTTACTTTTATCGTTGAGTAAGACGCCCATTTCATTATCGGATTCGTTCATGTTCATGAGCACCATTCCAAAGCTCTAATCCAGTTGCATTTCCGAAAAGCAGAACACTCAAATTAATGCTCTTGTGGGACTTAGCATAGGGAGCTAACATGGAACCCGAATGCCAAAACCTGGACTGCATACGTGGCACAGCGTAAGTTTTGTGAGAAATTGCTCCGCGAGGACAAAATGATGTATCAGCAGGTATTAACGAAGCGATTCCGTACGAACCGCAAACTCTTGTACAGGCATGTTAATGGCTTTCGTAAGGTGCAGCGCGGAATTTCAATACTGGTCACGACTGACGGGTACACGAGATCAGCAACGGAAGCAGCTGATCTCTTACAGTTCCGTCACTCACATAGCTTCCAGAGGGTAATACGCCCAATGATTATCCCTGTGTCTATTGCAGCACCGTCAGCTTTATCCAACGTCACCTTTACTGCAGGAGCTGTGTTAAAGAAGCCGTTGTCTCTGCGTACCCACAGCTATCCTCTTATAGGTAACATTCGAACGAAAGCTCCGAAGGCAGCAGACATTGATCTGACAGAACCTCTAGCTATCTTCTATCAACGCTGTTTAGAGGAGAACCAAATTCCATGAATATGGAAGCGAGGTTATTACTGCTACTCATAGACGAGATATTCGCACTGATCTTGCCAACTATCGCTCGGAAATGTTGCTTTCTCTGCCTTCCAAATTTACGGAAGCAATTATCGCAGATGCACCGATGAAGTATCTAGAAAACCATAGCATATTAGTCCCGGAGCAACATGGCTTCCACCAAAACCGCTCACGGACCACGAACCTGTTAGTTATACGCAATAGGTGGACTGAAGCAGTTGATGTTGGAGCAGCAGTTGATTTCATCTACCTGGAATTCTCCTATATAAACTTCAGAACTATAGCAT